AGTCTATAAATCACTCAAAAGCAAGCATACTATTAATTATCAGTTATTGGTATATCCTATAGCTCCAGTCGATGGGGCGGATACAGTATATGATGATCATCTCACCGCTGTCTACAACAACCCATGCTTGTCATAAGAGGCGACTAACGGGATCAGGTGTCAGGCTCGCTGACTTGTTAGACCGTATCCAAATTGCGTAGATCGATGCTCATGGTGTTGATCACTGGATTGTGTAGTCCAGAGTCGAATATTTCCAGACCGCCGCCATATAGCTGAGTGCGGCGTAAAAAACTAAACTCAATCTCTCACTCACTCCTTTACAATTTTGACCACCATTGTACAAAATACCTTCCAGAAGAGATATAATTCTAAAACTATTACAAAATAGAAGAAATAGTTTTGAGAACAACACATTATATTGCCTGACCGTGTACAGAGGATATAACGACAAACCCTTGACATGTTTTGAAAGAAGAACCAAATAATCCTCAACAACAGTCTAAGGTCCACCCTGAAGATACCCCTCCTGGGTCACAAAACACCTAATATGTCTGTTTAGCAGTTGGATCAATAATAGGTACAAGTCATACAGAGTTCAGTGCCAAATGACAAAGCCTGGAGTGACAAGGGCTCTTATAAAGTTGTCCTCACGTTTGTTTGATAACTCAAGACACTTCACAATGAGCCGTGACATAGTCAATCAACACTGGTCTGCCTCGTAAATGTGTGTAATATTTGTCAAGAATTATCTGAACAACTTTACAAGACTCTGATAGGAAACGTAATAGTCGTGCTCACGAAGGCAGTTCTTAACGACAGAGATCAAACTCTCAAAAACGTACGTTTTTCTAGCTACCTTTGAATTAGTTCTCTGGTACATACAGCTTTCAATACTCTTTAACACTGATCCACAGAGCCAATACAACCAACAAGTGCTCTTAATAGATCAGCAAACAGTTTTACTGTACGTATTTACATAGTCTGTGTATTGGCGCGGGTACCTTATGGTATATAGTCTAAATACATACCGGTATACTGGTTCACTGTTAGCTGTCTCTCGAACTGAGCTGCCTCGAAATATAGAATATTCTATATCGAAGTTAAAACAAGGTGTTAGTACATCTTTCCTGTTCAGACCTATCCATCTACCCAGTCTGGTGTCCTTTGCCAAGTGTCTATTGTACAAAAGTACAATATATAAAAAATGTGGGGGATGGTCAATAACAAGATGTCACAGCTATTGATATTTTTATCTTTGATGAGACATATAGTTTAACAGTGTATCTGATGACCAAAGATTTCGTTAGATGATTGGCCAAAGCGACCTACTGTCCATTGGTTACAATGAAAGCCAAACTCCTTATTATCGCGAATCCGAATTCGACGAGGCATACTCCTCATCAAACGTCCAATATCAATTTGGTTTATCCCATCTCATTTCTCCTGCACAGCAGGGCCAAGTTCGTTGAGAGGGGTTGGTGGTTGTTGACGGTGACGTACGTCCAGGGATATTCCAGACATGTTCAATGGATGACAAGTATGGCCATATATTTATAAGGTGATAATGTTCTCCTGTTGGAGGTAATCAGTGACAATATCAACCCTGTGTGCTCTTGCGTTGTCATCCTCAAACACAAACGACGTCCATGTCAGCGCAAATGGTACGATGTGTGCCTCCAGGATGCTGCCACGGTAGTACTGCACGGAGATACGGTGTTCTGCTAGTCACAATCGATGACAAGGCAGGTAACCCCATCACCACGGTTAGTGTTCATAATGAGTACTTGCGATAAATTTAATGTTTAATTGAAAATTGTAAATCTCTACACTTTGGGTCATGCAAATTGGCTTACGTTCTAACTTTAACGTATGAAAATTCAACAACAAAATGGTTTTCGGTTACAACTTGGCGATGACTGCGGTATATAAAATCAAAAACATACTGCCTGTGTTCTATACTGAACCATCATGGAGTAGAATTTACTGCTTTCCAGCGTAGCATCCCTGCTTGACTTTCTCTTCAGTGTAAGTGGACACGCAGATGTAGTTAATAAGGTTGATAATAATAAACCAGGGCCCCGTTGCACAAAGCGATCTTAACGCTGCGTCGCGTCTATGTAAAAGTATGTGAGTTTCGATAGCTTCGTACAACCAGGCCCTGGTTGATTGTGCCGTACCCTAGCGGCGTTGAAAATTGTTCGCGCTGTCAGCCTGACTGGAGTACTCACATTGAAACGTTAAGTACACCTTCATTTATGAACTCACTAATCAAGGTAAGGCTGCTTCGATAACCTTACGTTGTGCATGCTTTGCACTTATATACTGAATAAGCCAATACCACCCAAACAGTGACTAAAATCACATAAGAAATCAGAATAAATCACTAAACGTTGGCAATAAATTCAATCACTATTGATTCTAGCACTTTAAGGAGCAATATCAGTAGGGGATTATCTCTGATTAAGGATCAGTAGAAGCACCTGTAGACCAGGCATCTTTATGGTAGTGGTATTTGTACTGCAGCACGCGCTGAGAGGCCAACACAGAAATGCAAGCAAACAATCAAACCATTCTCACAACCCGAACCTGGTTGACCTCTACACTACAGTCGAGCATAGCTGTGGAACTAAGCTGAGAGGAAATTACATTACCCTTTATAACAAGTCGAGATTACACCCTACCCTGGGCTGAAATGAGTTCTTTGAATCTCATTTACATCGAATTTGGACAACCCTTTTTATGAATGATCTTTTTTAGCTTATATGTTATCTCAAATTATTTGTTTACTTTGCTTGAACTAAGAAACTCAGACATGAAAGGAAGATTGATGTGACAGTTGTCTAAATATTGAAATAAGAAAGGCACCGATTTTTCTCTTATGCTAAGAAAATGAAATTGCATTTTGACTTCAATGACTTCATGAATATATATTAAATGAAAAAGAAGCAATATTAACAGAAAAAGGAAATACTTTACAATGAAATTTTTATGAGGAAAAAATTCGAGAAGCATTTATTAGACAACATTAATTAAATTTGCACATGGTAACCTGGTGTTTTTCTTCTAATAATATCAGTTCAAAATAGTGTGGAAAAAATACCAGCGCCTTGAGCATGTACTAGTTGCACGGATATATGCACTATATAAATATCCTATAATATAAATAATAATATTGATAAAAGTCAGCTTGACTCCCAGGACACAAAACAAAACTTAATCAGACATTTCTGTATTTTATGGGAGTGGGTGTTGTATTTCATTTCTAAATGTCTCTGTTTGCCGTTCATGTGTTGTTTGGTCAACTCAGATTTATGATCAGCATCAGAGGGACTGAATAGAACAATCGGCACATTCCATCTTGTCTTTTATCAAGACCTAGTCCTATATATCACTAATATACACCCACTTATCCATACATCTGTCACCAAAGCATGTATAACACTCAACATTTGATGGGATTCCAACATATTATATTATACTGGTGTTGAGGGTGAATCATCTGTCAGGTCACTGTAATAGCAAATACTATATGTTTGACAACATGTCCACGTAATAAACAACATAAATCCCTACATGGACACTAAGAATTATCCCTTTCAAACGTAAATACTTTGATAGATAATTTTGTTATACAGTGAAGAAATCAAGGGCAGGTAACTCTAGTGAAATTACCCCACTTTAGTGACTATTGAAGGCAGTTGATTTTAAGACTTCAACAGCACTGCTATGACTGAAATAATATTATTGATACTACAGCAGTAAGCTACAACTATTACTTGTTAGATAAGTTGAGGTCTAATTCCTTGGGAAGTTGTCAGAATTATCGATAAACCTCAGATGTTACCCATGAGTCAAGGTGTAATTTATGTCAGAATGAATGGAAAATATATGAACAGTTTCTGTTCTATTTCGTCTACCACTACCATCCACTGAAGTAGACAAGGGTGTTCACTACTAGTGTATAGACATGCCATTGGGACATGAATGGCCCAGTCCTTGAAAGTGCTCATGTTCAAGTATTGTCAGCAGTTTGCCAGATTGGTAAACAGCTGAAGCCCACATGACATCCTTTCGTCCACTTCATGAAGTGATGTAACTCATTTACTGATAAAAGCAGTGTCAAACCCAACTCACTTGTTATCACTACACTGACAAAGAGTGAGTGAGTGAGTATGGTTTTACGCCGCTTTCAGCAATATTCCAGCAATATCACGGGGAGGGACACCAGAAATGGGCTTCACACATTGTACCCATGTGGGGAATCGAACCCGGGTCTCCGTTGTTGTAACGAGCAAATGCTTTAACCACGAGGCTACCCCATCGCCCCACACTGACAATGAGACAGAGGCAGCTGCCATACACCAGCAGCTGGACAAATCATTACACCGCTCCGACTGAGATGCCATATGTTACTACACAGTGAGTGAGTGAGTTTAGTTTTACGCCGCTTTTAGCAATATTCCAGCAATATCACGGCGGGTGACACCAGGAATGGGCTTAACACATTGCACCCATGTGGGGAATCGAACACAGGTCTTCGGCGCTTTAACCACTAGGCTACCCCACGGCCCCTGTTACTACACAGTTTCCTCACAGCTACATCATGTCAGACATCTTGATTACCATGGTTTCAAGGCCGCCACGTCTGCGTGATTAGGCCTCACCAGTATAAGTACTTCTTTCACATATATTTATAACAAAAATACTTGAAGGCAGGAGAGCAAAAACATAAAAATAGTTCGAAAGTCAAAAAAAGTAATTATTTAACTTTATGACTTAAATGTGCCTATTACATCAATTTCCTGAATATAATACACATTTTGGGGGATCAATTTTCAGGAGAATACTTTTCATTTGCTAAAGTATTTGGCATGCAAGTCCTAACCCTTTTGATGAAACATAACCAAAAAAATCCATGTCCATTTAGGTGGTGGGGGACTTGTTGAAACTTAGAACTAAGTAAATTAATGATCTGTGTATAAGAAAAAACAAAACTATACTTTAACATGATCATTTTATAACAAGCATTCGGATGACACTCTTCTTTCCAATGGGTATTGATCCATCAACTCATTGTATATAATGGTTGGATGCAAGATTGTCTGGTTCCATTTTACACAATTTGGAGTATCATGTACACAGCTCATAAGGAAACTTTCTGTCTGTAGATACAAATTCATATCTGCTTTAGAGTGATTTTACTGCAGCAATTGTCAAATATCTTGCAATGTGACTACACTTGAGTAATTATTTGCACAAAACAATCTAACGTCACGTTTACTCTAAATGTCAAACCCATAACAGTTCTGCAAGAGTCTCCATAACAGCTTTTGTTCATCCAGAATCTCCTTAACAAACAGACAAAATGACCATCTAGCCCTGTTCAGTCTTCGTCTCCCTTGAGGTCAGAGTAGAGCTTCACTGTGGCCTCGTCACCGTCACAAACTGCTTCATCAGCAATTTTCTGCAAGCAAACAGGCAGATATGAAATACACAGGGTTTTACACATCATTCCTGTGTATTTGACATAACAATTTTGTAAATGACTCTCAAAATATTATCATACGAGTCAAGTTTTGTGGGTGGCCCTCACAATTCAGTTCAATAAAATCGATTTGATAAGCAAAAAATGATATTATTCGATGATAGTTTGACTTTTACAGAGTTGTCAGATTGTTCCAGAGAACTCAGAGGAGACAGTAATCCTGGCTGTTTGAATTGAACAATGCTGTAGTTTCATTTGGTGGTGTGACATACACAGTTACATACTGAGAATGATTAACACAAAGAAATATTAAATCTTCATGACTCCCAAATATTGAAAATGACTCCCCAAATAAATATTGTGAGTCACAATGACTCCCATTTTTAAAAGTCTGCGTAAAACCCTGACTACAGGTCCCATCCAAGTGACAACATATCTATACCATTGATGAATTTGGTGTAATCAGTATTAGATGATATTCCAGAAACCCTACTTTAGCTAGATGAGGATCCTTCTGAGAATAGATACTCCAGAAACCCTACCTTAGCTAGATGAGGATCCTTCTGAGAATAGATACTCCAGAAACCCTACCTTAGCTGGAAGAGGATCCTTCTGAGAATAGATACTCCAGAAACCCTACCTTAGCTAGATGAGGATCCTTCTGAGAATAGATATTCCAGAAACCCTATCTTAGCTAGATGAGGATCCTTCTGAGAATAGATATTCCAGAAACCCTACTTTAGCTAGATGAGGACCCTTCTGAGAATAGATACTCCAGAAACCCTACCTTAGCTAGATGAGGATCCTTCTGAGAATAGATACTATAGATGAGGATCCTTAGATACTCCAGAAACCCTAGAATAGATACTCCAGAAACCCTACCTTAGCTAGATGAGGATCCTTCTGAGAATAGATACTCCAGAAACCTTCTGACCTTAGCTAGATGAGGATCCTTCTGAGAATAGATACTCCAGAAACCCCTACCTTAGCTAGATGAGGATCCTTCTGAGAATAGATATTCCAGAAACCCTACCTTAGCTAGATGAGGATCCTTCTGAGAATAGATACTCCAGAAACCCTACCTTAGCTAGATGAGGATCCTTCTGAGAATAGATACTCCAGAAACCCTACTTTAGCTAGATGAGGATCCTTCTGAGAATAGATACTCCAGAAACCCTACCTTAGCTAGAGGAAGATCTTTCTGGGAGTAGATGATATTCCTGATGACTGCTTGACGAGCCCGAGAGACGTCATGACCTCTACTTGACCTGGCTGACCCTGCAATTAGAGCCTGTTGGTAGTGTCGCCGAGAAACTCTGAAAGAAAATGTTTTGAAATGAAAATGTATTGTGTAATAACACAATGAACAAAATAATGGAATATCATTGTGCAATAACATACCCTTACCTAAGGTAACTAAAGCTGCTGTAAGAAGTGGCTCCTCAAATCATAAGCAAACAATAATAATTCATATCTGCTACAAAAATTGAATTTTAAAATTAAAGACATTGTCACAGGTAATGTCCATCTATCAAACATCAAAACATGAATTAAAGGACAACATGGTGTTGGTCAAGGGGTGGGAGATATTTAAAAGCAACTGACTTGTTACTCTTCATAGACAAGGCCCCCATCATCAGCAGCACAGCCGAGCAGCCAGGGTCAATCTTGAGAACCTCTGCAGCCGCCTCGTCAAACACCCTCCGCAGCTGCTGCTTGTCTCCACTCCCTGACTGTGCACACAATACAAGCATTGCATAGTAGCAGTTTCAGACGTTTAGACTGGGAATAACTTAGGTGCCTTTTTTCTGCATCATTAAATATTCATCTATATATCAGTGTATGAAATAAGCCAAAAATCCAGCCAGACATCAGGTCTGGTAATTTCAAAATGTTACCAACCCAAAATGGATTTAACCAGACCAATATGGTGAATTTACTCAGATGTATGGAACATCTAAGATATTTACTAGACCATCGGGCTGGCTAGCTGTAAATTTAGACCGTCCGTCAGAAATCTAGACCGTTTCAGGCAGTCGGACGGGCCTTATTTCATACACTGTATATATACAGATCGTTAGCAGGTCTCTAAGCTTGAATGACCTGGCTCAAAAGCAACTGATATGGGCCGGATATTACATACTGACACATGCTATGTCATGAGGCCAGATCCCACTTTACACAAATATATTGATACTTCTTTAGGAGAGTGAGATGAGAGAATAAACCAGCAGTATGAACTTCTACTACACTGACCCACATCACCTGGAGAGAAGTAACTGGACCTACCATGATTTGTTGGTATGACAGAGAGGCCAACTTAAGGAGAGACTCTAGCTTCACCTGGCGTTGACTGAAACACACGTGTAATGGTCAGACAGATAAACATGGAGGATGGCACCTTAAACAGACATACAGTTTAACAGAGGGGCAGTGTACCTTTGTTAGTAAAATCAGAGGATATACACGTAAGTAACACACTCTGACAACTTCAGTACATGAATATACCAACTTCGATGATATCTGCCTCTGGTATGGTAATATACTACCCAGCAAAAGTTTAGACTCACTTAAAGCACTCACTATATATGCTATGTATATATATATATATGGTTATATCAACGATGAATTTCTCCACTAACTTGGGGGAACCAACTGCAAACCTTATGCAGATGAACTGCACGAGGATCATGCATCAAATTGCTGAAAAATATGTGGAAACATTGTGCATGTGAACAGTTGCATTTTGGTGTACAGTTTTGTTAGGACTTTGCCAATTTTCACTGAGTTTCATCATTTATTGAATTCATGACAATAATCTTTTCAACGTTACAAATTTGTTTTACAATACATCAGTTCATGTGTAAACAGTACCTTTAAACAGTATGGAACATTTTGCAAAATCTATTTTAGAGCAGTTGACTGAAGTAAGTGGCTACATTTACACTGGTGAGTCTAAACTTTTGATGGGTAGTATATTACACAGCATCAAATTCTATGATGTCACAATATCCATAAATGCAAGCACCCTGACTTGTATGTGTTTTCACAAGACAGCAAGTGGACAATCAGATATTTAGCATTAATAAAGAGTAATGATAAGTTGTCCTCGTAGCAGCAGACGTCCTGTGTACCTGTCAGCCTGGGCCAGCTGCAGCGTGTGTCTGATGGTTGTGTCTGCCTCCGTCATCATCCCCTTCTGAAGGTACATCTCCGTCAGTATCTGCATCAAGACAAGTCTCCTTATCCCATTGCTTCAAACTTTTACAGGTTGTCCTCTCTTCTGAGGTGTGCAATACAGTACCTCTTTGAAACAGCATGTGTACTATTCAAATTTCACTTCTTAATACTAGTATCACAAAACATTTTCAGCAATTTTATATGCTTTTGCTGCATTGCATATTATCCTCAAGTTTGTTCAAATGATGTAAGTTTCAAATATACATAGTTACCTTGTCCACTTATACATAACCTCTTTGAGAGGCATTTGGAAGTTGGATGAATAAGGAAGGATGACAATATATGGATGAACAACGTCTTCATTACAGTGAGAGCGATGTCGATGTGGGTTCAGGCAAGTAATGATAACAGTGTCAGAACCTACACCGACACGTCACTCTCACTGTAATAAAGACGTTGCTCATCCATATATTGTCATCCTTCCTTCGCTTATAGTTTGCGATACATATACCAAATAAACAATTGAATAAATCAGCATATATATTCCCTAAAGCTCCCCTTATTTTGTACAAAGAACAGCATAGCTGGATAAATCCCTGTTTACAAGGAATGTACACTGACTCCTAGTAATGATTTCTGTCTGACCTGCCACAGATAGAGTTGTCTCCCCTCCATGCAGACCTTCCCTTGAATTGACTGGATGTCATCAGTCAAGGCTCCTTGAAGGACCTCAGCAAACAGTCCAGAGCTGTCTGGTGCAGTTGGTAGAGAGGATAACTAGAAACACAGAAACATAAATAGTTTCAATGCGTGACAGCCTACCTGGTTTTAAACTCTGTTCCTTCAACAAGCGACAAACGTCAACAACAGCAGACACTTAACATGTGTCGTCAGTATAAAAATCAACATGCAGGCGCGTAGCAAGCCAGTTTTTTTCATGCAAGCTCGCTAGGTTGCAAAGCTATTTAGCTACCATTTAGATGGTATTGAGGGCTTTACCCAACTTTCATAGCATAAATCATGTGTAAGCTCAGGCTTTTTTTCATAATGGAAGCTACGAATCTGACATGCAAAACTATCAGTGTGCATTGTCACACAACCGGGTCACAAAGATTTGAACATTCAATAAACTTAATCAGCTTGTATGACAGGCACAGGTTGTCCTTACCTCAAGGACATCAATCAGACATGGGGAATCTGCACCACAAAGGGATTATTCTCCTTACCTGCTGGAGGGCCTCCTTGGCTTCGCTCCCTTTGTTACAGAGTATCAGACTAATGACTCTCTGTCTCCAGCACCAGAGCGCCACTCCTGGCTGAGGGGAGTGTTCCAGCACTTCTTGTATACGCTGTTGTTCTATGTTCAGCAGGTGCTGTCGTCTCTCAGCACCACTCAGTACAGCTTCAGCATGGACAGCTGCGATCAAGCTGCACTGACTGGACACCTTGTCTGAAAGATGTGGATAAAGATCATTTTAAGTTCCAACATTTGTTTCTCCCTACCAAACTATACCTGACAATTGCAAGAGTTCCACCCTTGTACAGAAATAGTGCACAGGAACTGAGAAACAATAGCTCCTTACCTGGATAGAGGTGTAGAGCCTTCTGTGCAGATGACAGAGCATTGTTCCGTGTGTCTCGCCTACTGTGGAGTCCGCCTTGGAGTTGACCAGTGGTCACAAGAGTGGGCACAGACTGAAACAGAGGGCGCATCCTAAGGGAAACCATTTTGATTGAAATGTGCAGGGTATGGGTACCCAGTGGGATGAGATGTTAACCTTTCAGCACCCATGTATGAGGTACCAGGGACCTATTTTCACCAAGAATTCCTTTGTGGGAGATATATGAGAAAATCTGCAAACCTGTATCTTGTCTTCTGAGTGAGAGAGATCCTGTGATGCCCGAGCACAGTGGGAAGCTGCATCTCCCAGGTTGGGGAAGAAACTGGTCAGTATGGAACACAAAACTCGCCATAACCGTGGACATGTTGGGTTCTTCTGAATAACTCTCTGAATAGAACGCTTGGCCTCTTGAAGATTACCCTGTAATTTGATTTCAACTATATATCTGCTACGTCATGATACACGTTTGTGAATTATTGCATTATTTGTAACTGGAAGTTTCATTTCATTTTTGGTCAACCTTACATTTTCAGCTTTAAACCATTTAATCAGAAACACACAATTTAATCAGAAACACACCATTTTTGTACATAAGTGACTTTTTGTTTTAATACTATGTTGGAGAGTATTTCAGTTAGAAAATGTGTGTAGCAGGAACACTGAAAGTGTTCCAGATCATAGAAATTGACAATTTTAATAAAACATACAGATTTGGCTAGGACAGACCCCAGATCATATTTTGGATGAACTAAGGGTTCAAAATCCTTGCATTACAAGGCATAACTTGCAAAGTGAAAAGCAGCATTGTAGGTCCCATAGCCAAACCCTACTTAGTGCAGAAAATGCTGTCTATTCTGAATCTAAATACTCTTTACGCATAATAGCAGAAGTAAACTTCTATCCCTCTCGTACAGCTGAGGAAGAGCCTATGAACTGTGTATCGACCTACCTGTAGTATATACAGAGAAGCAGACAGCCAGGTGACATCTGGTAGTGAAGGGTCCTTATCTCCCAGCTTGAAGAGTTCCTGTATAGCTGCAGTAGCGAGGGTGGCATCAGACTGCAGCAGCCCGAGTGAACACAGAGCCTGGAGTCCTGGAGCAGAAGGTGGAGCCTGCTGGGATCTGTCAAACAATCATTCCAGCTTGGGATATAAACATTTTGAAGCAGACTACAACTTAACACAAGTTGATATATATTATCTACAGTTTTATACAGACACAAAATATACAGAAAGAGTTACCCATTAAACAGCGCTGTTTTGGCACCCTCAATATCTCCAAACCTGTAGGCAACCATGCCAAGGGCGGAGTAGATGTGTGACTTGTCTTCATTAAGCTCAGCGATACCAAGGGCTGTGTTGTAGGCTGGGTGGAACAAATAGCAGATAAAGTCCACTGAATATTTTAATATCAAAAAAGGTTGAAAAACAATTATGTTGCAAAAACATGTCAGATTCTGAATGGCAGAGACCCACTCTCTCCTTCTTAATGCACCATGCCAACACGTTAGGTAAATTGCTTTTATTCTATGCTTGAATTGCTGAATGATATACTTTACATTTGCAAAATGCCACCCACAATTTTCTCAAACTAACATTCAAATATTCTATGTATATTTACAATATTTTCCAAATGAAAGGGGTGGTGGGGTAGCCTAGTGGTTAAAGCGTTGGCTCGTCACGCCAAAGACCCGGGTTCGAATCCCCACTTGGGTACATTGTGTGAAGCTCATTTCTGGTGTCCCCCGCCGTGATGTTGCTGGAATATTGCTAAAAGCGGCGTAAAACCAAACTCAGTCAGTCCAAATGAAAGAGACCTAGAGGGAACAACTCTTTGCTTTACTGTTGTCTGCAATTTTATGATGATTGTAAAAAACAAATGTGGATAAATGCTTAAGAACTGAGCATGAATGCATAAGTGATACCTGCAATATAACAAGATGTGCAGAAAGATTAATTCATTGTCCACCAGTCCCTTGGGTGAGTTGGGTTGATGTGCCTTGTATGTTAGTTTAAACTAAGATAGTTTATACTGACAGTTTATACTAACACAGTTTATACTGACAGATTACACTGATATACACATCCTGGGTACAACATGCATCACCACCACCATCACCACCACCACCACAGCCTTCTGTACCCACCCTGGTAGCTGTCCTCGAATCTGCCCTGCTTGTAGTGAGCCAGGCCAAGGAAACAGAGGTCCTCACACTTCTCCAGACCTCCAGCCTTCTCTAACTGCTCCGCTGATTCCTTGTAGTTACCTCCCTTGCTACAACATTATCAAAGAAATGTTTCATTTGCTATATTGATGAGTTTATGCAAGCTTGCTCGAATCTCTATTTTCAATGGTGGTTATTGTTCTATTCCTGTTTCCTCCAGGTGAATGTAAAGAAGCACTCCAGTATCGTACCATAGGACTCTTCCATAGTTGATCCTCACTTTACCCAGCTGCTTCGTTTGGCTGGAGTCCTTCTCCAGGATCTCCACAGCACTGCAATAGTACAATAGTACAAGATATACATGTAACTGACATCTGTGAGACAGATAGTGAATCATAACACACTATACCATCCATGAATGCCCTTCACTATACATGGTAAAGTGATGCTTACAGTTGCATCAATACAAATGGGCTATCAAACGTCAGATATACATCAGATAAAGCACTTCATACACATGTCTGTTACTGATGATGGTGGCGCCTGACAACCAGGAATAATTTTTTACCAAAACCACAACTCGTCTTGACCCCTGTGACTATTATGATATCAAGACCAAGTTTCCTCTCTCACTACAAAATGTTTCAATAAAGTTCACCTCCTGAAAGCCTCGGATGCCCCTCTGTACAGCTTTTGATGCTCCAGTAGCAGACCGTACATGTTGTACGCTGTCACGTCAGTCTTTACACGACCTGTATGAAATAGTCACAACTGGCTCATAAACACTGATACATATGACCCTATGTTACATAACACACACATCAAACAAGTTACTTCTCACTGGGTTCCATGTCTTCACATTTTACACTGATGCTGATGATGAGTGAGTTTCACACAGATTTCACCATATTTCAGTTGTAAGACATGCTTGCTTCATTTGACCGGTGAGTCAGTCAGACTCATAGTCTGAGATTCCCACCTGCACAATTCATTTGTCAGTTTGTTGTTTAACGCCACACTGAGCAATATTCCAGCTATAAAGCGGCGGTCTGTAAGTAATCAAGTCTGGACCAGACATTGCATTGATCAACATCATGACCAAAATTGATCAACATCATGACCATCATTCTACACATATGGGATACGATGACATGTGTCAAGCAAGCCAACAAGTCTGACCACCTGATCCCATTAGTTATTATTATAGGATATTTATATAGTGCACATATCCAGGCAACTAGTGCATGCTCAAGGAGCTAGTATTTTTTCCCTCGATCATTGGATGTCAATCTCAACGGCACACTGTGTTATCAATCTCAACTCCCTTGGGAGTATACAACTCTTGCAGCCACTATGCGCATCGAGTTATTGTGGCTTTCTCATCCTAACGAGGTAGTTGTCTTTTATACATGCTCTTTGGACCAATTCTAAGCCAGATCCTCATTGGTGGTCTCCACAAGTCATCTGAGACTTAAACGATGTGACTACATCACTGTCATACAGTGGTAGTTGGTCCCCACCCGTGTATCTGGCCAGAGCGTCTGCTGCAGCAGGGATGGCGGCCATCTGCTTGATGCTGTACAGGTACAGGTCTGTGTTCCTCTTGCTGTGGTCCTGTAGTATCTGACAGACCCAGCTGGCGAATCCAATAGCACCCTCGATCTGAATACACATGAGTCAGTATACTGCTTAACTACTCTACAATTACCTCAGACAGTGAGTGAGTTTAGTTTTACACCACTTCAAGTAATATCACCCAGAAATATCAGAGGTATCATAGACAGACTTACTGATACAAACTTGTAGTTCATTGACAGGAAATAAAACAACAAGAGATAAAAATACGTACAAACCTGTAGAGGTTACTGATTCTTTGAAGAAAGTCCTCCTTGGGGTACATATAAGCATTTAAATGTCCATTTTAAAAACCTATGACAGTTGTAACTATATTTTAATAAAATATTTACAAAACAAAAAACTTGTAGATAACTCTTAGCTCAGGATCCGCTGACATTGCATGAAAGGTACCATCTGGCAGACGGTACCGCCACAAGAAAGGCTGCCTTCCAACTTAACAGCTGGACTGAGAGAGCTGCCAGATCGTAAAACAGAGGACCGGACATCCAATCAAGAATGATTGACAAGACCCACTGGGACTAATCCGCCGGACAATCGGACGGATTCTGTCAACGCTTGCTAAAAAGCGCTGCACAAGAGGGTGTTGCCCCAAGAGTACACCATTGGTAGGTATGTGGAAGGCAGAGATAGATGTGGAGTAGCCACGGCTTCTAACCTAGATTGCAAAAACTCCAAAACAGTGACTAAATCTGTTGAAAAGAGATCAAGAATCCCTCTGCCGACACACCAGCCCTCATAACAGGCTCATCTATCCTCACACTGAACGCCAATTAATACCTCTCATGATGCCAGAATTGTGTCTGCAAAGATGCAGGAATTCTGCTTGCCTAGAGGCAATTCCGGACAGTGGCCCGACCACCCACTGAATCCTGGGATTTGGGTGGGGCGCTCCGTTCTGGGATAGTAGGTCTGGTCGAAAGGGTAATAGTATAGGAGCCAGAGCCAGAAACCTGATGATTACCGGAAACCAGCATTGCGCCGATCAAAGTAGTCAAGCTGGTTGTGTGGCAAGCTGCGAGAGGATCCTGGGAATCAGGGGTATCGGTGTGAAAATCCACAGAGCCCTGTCTGTCCAGTCGAGCTGGAAGGCATCGGAAGCGATTGAACTGGCCACACCAAAGCAGAAACTGCCACACCTCCTGAAGGAGAGACGGAAACACCGTACCATCCTGCTTCAGGATATAGGTCAATGCCGTCTTGTTGTCCATCTCTAGACGTACCACTCGGCTCCGAACCTGGTCCACGAAGCATTCGAATCCTCACCGCAAGTGAGGAATTAACCACTCTTTGGGTCAAGAGAAGCCTCTCGCAGTAACTCTCGAGTGGACCAGAGGTATATCCTCAGGCGCTGCACGCCAAATATTATGTCCACAGTAGCGCCAAATTGCTTACAAAATTACTCAACTATGACTTACCGTAATTTCACTGAAAGCGAAAATAAAAAGGCAAGCCTAATATATAGTACCATTGAATTATATATAAACTCCCACCAAGAGTAAAAGTAGAACAAATTGAGAAGTGAGAGGCGAAGCCATGTAGTCCGGCCATCTTGCCTGCCACATGGCTGGAAAAGCGGCGACAATTAAACCGCAAATTTTACAACAAATTACTTAATGAAAATACCTACATATAAATTCAATTTAACACCCCTGCGTAAAGAAAGGAACCATACATACAGTATTTGAGTCTTTATCACCCACAGTCGTAGCAAGTGTAGACCACCTGGCTGTAGGGGCTCTGTAGGGGTGGTTGAACAAGTTTTTGGGTTTATAATTTTTTTTATTAGAATATAGTTACAACTGTCGTAGGTTTTAAAATGGATATTTAAATGTTTATATGTACCTGAAGGAGGACTTCTTCTGAAAAAGAGTATCAAATATACTAGTACTGACTTTCATAAATGCCTACAGCTCGCTATGTGCTGTTGTTCATTACAGCAACAAAGTATTACTTCCAACATTACCTGTTTCACATGTTTCCCTGCATGTTAACATCCTAGTTCAGGAGTTATGACAGAGACTGTAAGTGACATACAGAAAACAAGTCCTTACATGAAGCAGAATACTTACATGATTGGCCAGTTCGGTTGTGTGACGGAACAGGTCCATGGCGTCATCATGTCCAACTATCTCCGCTATAAGGGCCTTGAATTGAGGAAACAGATTAACTTATTACACCCACATGGAGTAGACAAGCAGAAAATCAAAATTAAACATTAACACATTAACTAAATGTATTACACTTTCGTAAAGTTAACAAACTGGGCATCTAGATGATCAAGAATATACAGTCATTCCCTGATCTTGAATCATTCCAAAACAGTTCAGTATGTACATAGAAAATAAAACCAGCCAGTATTGACTGTTACAGGTTTGATCCAGTACAGACCTGTCCAATCCAGCAGGCAACATAAGTCGGATCAAGACTTTGAGCTACTTTGAAAGCTTCATGGGCAAGCTGAAAAATAAAGTGATTATTTTAAATAGAAATATTCAACACACGAGTTCAATTTCAAGAGATCTTGGCTTAGTCCAGTTTATTCAAGAAGCATGAGTTACACAATTAACACTTACTTGCACGTTATCATTCTTCAGGTACAATGTCCCCAGGTTGGTCCAGGCAACAACATTCTGGAACACAATCAAGAACTGACATGGTCTCCCAAAGTATGTCACTGCGTATATCAGCTGTTCTAGACTGGTCAGTTCTTGTCAGGGGTTTGGGCCTGGCACAAGCAGCATTAATGGTTCACTATAAGAGGATTCACTACAACCTCACCTAAACCCCAGAAAGGCCAGTGGGATATATCTGAGTCCAGTCTTGGATCAAATATCTGGCAGTGACATTTGTCTGTAAGTCCACTGTACCATCAAATCTCTGGCCAAAATATTTACATAACTGACAAGTTTTGTAGTGACATGAATACTGTAACAAGTAACTGATGTTGTAGAAATAGATGGGTGTTTTCTTCATGAAAACAATTACACATGGAACTTGAAAATATTGGGCTTCTTCCAAGATGTTTCAACTGACAACATGGGTACTACAAGCATCACGTACATTACTCTCCACTTCTATGGACTTGATGAAGCAGTGCTGGGCCAGCTCAGGCTTGTAGCAGTCTGTTGACAACAAGCAATTAGTGCATCAGTATATTTCTAGGAAGAAACTCATAGCACATCAAAAATACTGCACTAATGTGGAGAAAAGTATAAGGCATACAAAAGTAACATGCAAGTCAGTTCCAGAGTATTCCTCTCAGGAGTAATTGTCTATTGAGGGCATTTGTTGTAGTGCAATAATTACAGAGTGGTTACATTAGTAAAATCAGTTTAGAACACAATATACTTGTAACGTAGGTGTAGCCATAGCAGTAATATTGAGATATAGATTAATAATGGTTTAATCATTCAACATAAATATTTTTGCATTTTTCAACATGTCAGCCATGACATCAATTCAGCAGGGAGTACTGGTCAATATTTGCCTACTTCATGATTGATTTCTGAATGCCTACAGACATGTACATTATGGGTCCAAATGAATGGATAAATACATTACTACTATTGGTCTATTGATATTTTATGTATTGACAATCAGTGATGGAAAATTGCAATAAAAAAATGAGATGATCAATGGATTTACTCCAACCAATTTCTTGTAGGATTATTTACTGAAAATTTCAGTCTATACAGAAACAAATAAAGAAGGCTCATAACATCTGTAAAGGTGTATTTTGTTGTATACCTGTCGCAGGCAATGTATTAACAGGCTTACTCACACTTGGCACATACCACCACCCCCAGGGCATTCCAGTGGCGGAAGTTGTTAGGGTCCAGACTGACCGCCTTCTTCAGCGCCTGTATGGCCTTCTGGGATAGCTCCACTGATGCTGATGTGGACAGCTCTGATTGGTGGAAATAGTTGACCCCTAGGTCATGCCAGAGAGAGGGCACTTTCTGGAATACTCTTCAAGGCCCTACCATAACACCTACAGAATGATGAATGTAAGTTACTGACAACCAGTCTGTGAACTATCATACATTTGTACATATCATGATCTCATTACATCAGCTTGATCAGTTTCAGGATAACTGGTAATCCACGCAAAGTCATTTCAAGTTGTTCAAAACCACCTTGCTTGTCTGCTCAGTTCCTATTTGATGATTTGTCTGATGGTTTATGTTTGCCCTATATAAGTACACATAGACATGGTCTCCATTTCACACAGGACAGTCAATACAATGGCAAGATCTGTATCATTTCATCTGGAGCTAGCAGATCAGTATCCTTGAAAATTTTAATGAGTGAGCGGGAGAAATAGAGGATACTAAACTACCTTCCATTTAATACCAATTTTATTAAACAAGTTAATGATTTGGTATCAAACGAGTGAAAGCCATTTTGATACTAAATCTTTCACGAGTTTAATAAAAATGGTATTTCACGGAAGCGAGTTTAGTATTCTGTTTATTACTATAGAAACATAAATTGATAGAAACTACTACAGTGTGATAACTCTCATATCAATTTTCCGTGAGTCAAGCAAGGTCTAATACTATTGCGAAAAGAGCCATTAGCATTGTGACGTCAAAACTGTCACTTTAACCATACTGTAAAAATATTACACTGGAGTATCTGCCACAGGCGAGTAATATTGCAATTTATATATATGTATATATTTTAATATATTGCAGCATAACTTGAGGTAGAGTTTCCTACCTGGCTCCAACCTGCAGGACCTCCATCTTCCCCAGGGTCACCATGTCCTGGGACGACTGCTGGACTAACTTGGCAGGAAGCTGCAGACTAACAGAGATGTAACATGTGATTGGTGGTGTAACATGTGACTGGTGGTGTAACATGTGACTGGTGGTGTAACATGTGGTGTAACATGTGACTGGTGGTGTAACATGTGACTGGTGGTGTAACATGTGACTGGAGGTGTAACATGTGGTGTAACATGTGACTGGTGGTGTAACATGTGACTGGTGGTGTAACATGTGACTGTAACATGTGACTGGTGGTGTAACATGTGATTGGTGGTGTAACATGTGACTGTAACATGTGACTGGTGGTGTAACATGTGACTGGTGGTGTAACATGTGATTGGTGGTGTAACATGTGACTGGTGGTGTAACATGTGACTGGTGGTGGGGTAACATGTGATTGGTAGTGTAACATGTGACTGGTAGTGTAACATGTGATTGGTGGTGTAACATGTGACTGGTGGTGTAACATGTGATTGGTGGTGTAACATGTGACTGTAACATGTGACTGGTAGTGTAACATGTGACTGGTGGTGTAACATGTGATTGGTGGTGTAACATGTGATTGGTGGTGTAACATGTGACTGGTGGTGTAACATGTGACTGGTGGTGAAACATGTGACTCGTGGTGTAACATGTGACTGGTGGTGTAACACATGACTGGTGGTGTAACATGTGACTGGTGGTGTGGTGTAACATGTGACTGGTGGTGTAACATGTGACTTGTGGTGTAACAAGTGACTGGTGGTGTAACATGTGACTGGTGGTGTAACATGTGACTGGTGGTGGGGTTACATGTGATTGGTGGTGTAACATGTGACTGGTAGTGTAACATGTGATTGGTGGTGTAACATGTGACTGGTGGTGTAACATGTGACCGGCAGTGTAACATGTGACTGGTGGTGTAACATGTGACCGGCAGTGTAACATGTGACTGGTTGTGTAACATGTGACTGGTGATGTAACATGTGACTGGTGGTGTAACATGTGACTGGTGGTGAAACATGTGACTGGTGATGTAACATGTGACTGGTGGTGTAACATGTGACTGGTGGTGTAACATGTGATTGGTGGTGTAACATGTGACTGGTGGTGTAACATGTGACTGGTGGTGTAACGTATGACTTCTAACACAGACAACAGGAAGCTGAACACTAACACTGAAATCATAGGTACCTGCAGACTAACACAGACACAACAGGAAGCTGAAGACTAACACTGAAATCATAGGTACCTGCAGACTAACACAGACATTGCAGTAAGCTGAAGACTAACACTGAAATTATAGGTACCTGCAGACTAACACAGACACTGCATTCAGCTGAAGACTAACACTGAAATCATAGGTACCTGCAGACTAACACAGACACTGCATTAAGCTGAAGACTAACACTGAAATTATAGGTACCTGCAGACTAACACAGACACTGCATTAAGCTGAAGAAACGCTGAAATCATAGGTATCTGCAGACTAACACAGACACTGCATTAAGCTGAAGACTAACACTGAAATCATAGGTACCTGCAGACTAACACATACATTGCATTAAGCTGAAGAAACACTGAAACCATAGGTACCTGCAGACTAACACAGACATTGCATTAAGCTGAAGACTAACACTGGAATCATAGGTACCTGCAGACTAACACAGACATTGCATTAAGCTGAAGACTAACACTGAAATCACAGGTACCTGCAGACTAACACAGACATTGCATTAAGCTGAAGACTAACACTGGAATCATAGGTACCTGCAGACTAACACAGACATTGCATTAAGCTGAAGACTAACACTGAAATCATAGGTACCTAAAGACTAACACAGACACTACAGGAAGTTGACATGGAATCTGTAGAATAACACAGATTACCGGGAGCTGGTTCAGCATGTAATGACAAAAGCCACTGTTTAAAGGTCAAGAGAAATAAGTATCATGCAAGACATTTGTATGCAAGTATGAACACGGGCACCACTGTGAGGTGAGTCTGACGTACCTGAAAGTCTCCGGGGCCAGAGGCTGCAGCACAGTACAGGCATCCCCCATCAGCTTCCACAGGCACGACAGGTCTGCACGCTGGGACACAGCTCTACAACAAACAGGGGGTTCACCATTCATACACTCACTCTATCACATCATGTTGGTACACAGGGTACCTCATCAAGACTGTCTGGCTTAACAACATTGTTCAACAATATCTCACCTGGTCAGATACACCATGGCCTCTTGACACATGTCCCGAGCCAGTCCATCAAGGCAGGTGGTCAGATGTTGTCGTGCCAACAGCAACAGGGTTTCACGAGAGACCTGAACAGAGAGATCGCCACATTATTCACAGAAAGCACTGCATACATGTATATTGTACCATGACTATCACTGTGTCATTTGATGTGTGTTACAGACATATGCTCTGAAATGAGTATCTGTTTTGTGTGCAGTGTCACTGATATATTCAGACCATGTACTGGGACAAGTTGCCCACCTTTTAGTGCTGGCACGTAGTTGTGGGACTTCTCCAGGATGGCCTTGTACTCTGTCACAGCCTCTGGGTATTCTCCTAGGGTCTGTTTAATGCTGGCCATTCTGTAGTCAAAAATACAAAATCAGAAACAGTTGGCAACATATCATGTAGACAATTAAACATCAGTATTTCAATGAAAAGACTGCAGATTTTCTATGTGCCAATGTTGTTATGTGAGATGATTTGATTTGTGAGTGTGTGCGTGCGTGAGTGAGTGAGTGAGTGAGTGAAAAGAGTGTGTACTTTAATAATATTCCAGCACCAACGGAAAGTCACACATCTTGTTGTAGTGACATTAAATGATGCTCAGTGGCTTGGAAGTAAAAATGAACTCACTGAAACAGACTGTACACCGAATCTGGGTTCAACTGCAATGAAAGAAATCGCAGGTCATGTTATAAACTTGGGTGTTCACATCAACCTTAGGAAACAAATTCAAGCAATTTTTAAGCATCTGTCAACTACACCATTTCAGTTTTAAAGAACTACTATTCCAGACCTAGTATTTAGGAAGACATTCTTAGAATACCTTCTTCTGTTTGTTTGGTCTGCTATTACCTGAATTATATTGATCTGACCATTTTCTCAAATATGAGTACTTAAAAAGTGTTTCACCCACCAAAACACATTACACTAAAGTCTCTGACATAGAAACAACACACACCATAACATTAGTATGTCATCACAACATTTCTGACTTGTTACACCTGCTATAAAAGGACATTAACAAAGAAGTCAAATAAGTCAAGTGGTCTGTCTGACACATTTTACAGTGTACATACTGTGAGCAGCGAATTTGAACAAACAACCTGAAATACACCTGATCAGTAGCGTATATACAGGATAGCAACTCTTCACTGTAATGTCATTCTGATCATCCTCACCTCAGCTGCCTTTGTGAATGTCTTCAGGGCTGCTGTGTAGCTCCCGCGATGCAGGTACGCCTCGGCCAAACACTCCCACACATGCCTGACAAAGAGAAAATGGTGATTCTAGGAGCAGATGATACATAACTGAGTCTGGATGTCACATCCTATTCTGTTGGTGTACGGTGACACTCAGTCACTGAGGGGATCACCTAACTTGTGAAATGAGAAATGTATACATGAGGAAAACGCTCAAATACAGGCCATCATCAGGGATCATGTTAGAACAAAGTTCCTTACCTGTCTTGGGGATCTGCTCTGAGAGCCGCCTGGAATGATGCCACGGCAATGGTGGGGTCGTCATGTCGCACTTGGTACAGACCTAATCGCAGCCACGCCCACTTGCCACTAATAATACAAACACACTTAGTGAAAAACATTCCCCAAAATGGTACCGAAGCACTGTTTTTCAAACTGTTATCTAAACCTAAAGGCTGTGGTTTAATCAATGATAAAAAGACTCACTTACCGGTAACTATATACACGCTAATTTTTCAGCTGATCAGTGCAGCTGATTAACCAAGTCAACCTTTTGGCATACGAACTGGAACATTTCTTCTGGAAAAGGCTGGCTGTTGCATTATAGCTAGTTTGGCATTATATCCAGGGAATATAAATGGGACGAAATCAGTTCTGGAAAACTATGGTGCCAGGTTGGCATAATTGCCAGAGGAATTATACCCAGGGTGCACTGTATTAAAACTTAAATATATATTTTATTTCTTTGTTCATGGTATGAAAAAATCCAAGTTACATCTACCACAAAACCAACACATATTAGCATATCCTTTAGATGCCTAGTAAATACTTCCAACGTTAACAGTTGGCCTGCACTCACCAGCCTGCACTGGCTTGACTTGTTGCAGCCTCCAGTAGGCCTCTAGCTTCCTCCTACAAACAGACATCACCTTGGTAATAATATTATGGGCATTTCTCTGAAACACAAGTCACCAACAGTAATCTTAGAACTCCTTGGTTTTATTGGAAATTCAAACATCCAGGTTCCCGTTTCACAAAGCTATTGTAGTGCTACGACTGTAGTAAGTCTATGTTACAGTATAGAAGGTACAGTCGTAGCGCTACGATAGCTTTGTGAAACGGGGCCCTGGACTGCGATCATCCTTTTGTCTTGCCTGCAGTGATACAAGCAGCCCTGTGGACATTTTTACTCTAGATGAGGTACTGGATATCACAGGTGAGACACCGACAACAGGCTTTGATAGTGAGGGAATGGACCACTGTGGTGGCATTTGGTAAAGCGAATTAAGGTTTTAACCTTCTCACTACCTCAACACTAGTTTTTATTGACAAGACTTCATTCAAACAGAAACAGTTTCAATGATGACTTACATCTTCACCAATGGCGACTAAGATGTCACAAAGGGCAGCTCCTGCTTCCTCATTACCAGGGTCAAGGTCGGTATGCCTTCTGATAGCAGCAGCTTGGCTTTCCTGTTAAATAAGTTCAAAATAATGTAAAATGTTATATCAGGGTAAATGAAGTTGGCAGCTCAATCAACAATATACTGCTGCTGGTTAAGAGGCGATGAGCAAACTAAAGGGAGACAACTTCTTGAGTCAACATGGCCATATGATTGAATACCTACACATTGTCCTTCTGCACAGTGGCATAGAAGTGTCCCAGGTAAAGAAAGATCTCACTATTGTAGGGGTCCAGTTTGGCTGCCTGAAACATAACAAACATTTAAGTATGATGTGTACTGGAAATATGAAACACAAATTATCTATAAATAACCTACTTTTCAATGCAACACTGAAAGTCATCAAGTCAATCCTCGCCATAAGATTCTAACTGTTTAGAGTGGCGTGAGGAAAGCCCACTCTCCTGCATCGGCTCCTAGACCACTAAATATATGCCTTGAAAACATTCTCCATCCTTCACTTTAAGGAAGGCCTTGAAACTTCTCTCTTGCACCACTCACCTTAAAGAATGCCTTGAAGCATCTCTCACCTAAAGGAAGGCCTTGAAACATCTCTCTTGCATCACTCACGTTAAAGAAGGCCTTGAAGCATCTCTCACCTAAAGGAAGGCCTTGAAACATCTCTCTTTGATCACTCACTTTAAGGAAGTCCTTGAAGCATGGCTCACCTTAAGGAAGGCCTTGAAACATCTCTCACCTTAAGGAAGGCCTTGAAGCATCTCTCACCTTAAGGAAGGCCTTGAAACATCTCTCACCTTAAGGAAGGCCTTGAAGCATCTCTCACCTTAAGGAAGGCCTTGAAGCATCTCTCACCTTAAGGAAGGCCTTGAAGCATCTCTCACCTTAAGGAAGGCCTTGAAGCATCTCTCACCTTAAGGAAGGCCTTGAAGCATCTCTCACCTTAAGGAAGGCCTTGAAGCATCTCTCACCTTAAGGAAGGCCTTGAAACGTATCTCACCTTAAGGAAGGCCTTGAAGCATCTCTCACCTTAAGGAAGGCCTTGAAGCATCTCTCACCTTAAGGAAGGCCTTGAAGCATCTCTCACCTTAAGGAAGGCCTTGAAACATATCTCACCTTAAGGAAGGCCTTGAAGCATCTCTCCTGCACATCTCTCCTGCACTCCCCCAGGTCCCGGTGTCTTGCAGCTGCCACAGGACTCGTCCCAGCATGTAGTGATGTCCACTCACATCAGGGGCTTCCTCAGTCAGCTTCTCGAACCTTTCACAACACAAGTAGTGAGTCCCAAAATGTGCAACTTCAAGGAAATTACTACACATGCCTTGATACTACATCTTTGAGGATTTCTTAGGTAAATATACTGTTTAATTGTGGCACTGATTCACAGTTCAGATCTGTGGTTATCTGTTACAACAGCCATATTACAATTAAAAAATGAAAACTGTAAATGATAATGAATTAAATCAAATGTGTTTCCTGTCATGAATCACCATTTGCCCTATGAAGTATAACTAGTTGCTGTAGCGAGTCCCACCGTGAGAGAGCCTCCATGTACTGGCCTGTATGGAACATGATGCGGCCTCTGACTGCTTCTCTCTCACCAGCACTCTCTGGCACATTATCCAGGTGGTTCTGGTAACACATTCATAATTAGGGAAATTATCATATTAATGTTTCCAGTTTGACAGTATGTTAATTTGTTGATTCTGCTACTTTAACTCTTCGTCTATTCTCTTTCAGTTAGGACTGAATAATAACTAATGACATGCAGTGTCTGAATTTTTAGATTTTAGCTTTCATGTAGAGGTGGACATGTTGACTGACCTAAGCGAATGCTACAGTCATCAACATTCCAGCTGTATCAACAAGTAATGTATGAGCAATGATCCAGGGCCTAGATTTTCGAAGCTCTCTTAGCACTAAGATAGTCGTAAGTGCCATACATTAACATTAACTTAACTAATGTTAACATCTTGACTAACCTGTGCATCTGCTACATTTCCTTGCTTCAGACAAACATACACCAGGAGAGTCCTCGACTCAGAACTTTAAACACATCCTGAAAATTGAGAGACAAAATTCGAACAAACCTGTAGGGTTTCTGATTCTTTGAAAAGAGTACTCCTTGGGGTACTTATAAGCATTAAAATGTCCATTTTAAATTCCTATGACAGTTGTAACTATATTTTTCAATAAATTGTTTACAAAACAAACAACTCGTTTTTGTCTTGTGAGACCACCCCTACAGGACCCCTGGGCCCCAACAGCCAAGGGCAGGTAACTCTAAGCATGAACCTCGTACCTCACTTTTCATGCTGCACGAACGCAGACAGAATGAGGGGAGGTGGGTGGTCATACCCCAAGGAGGACTCTATTCAAAGAATAAGAAACCTTTTCAGGTTTGTTCGATTCTTTTTTAAAAGAGATCCTCCTTTGGGTACTTATAAGCATAAGACAGACTCTCATAGACATAGACTCTGGAGTGGTATTCTGTCTGGCATACAATACCCTTCACAAAGCGGATTTCCCCAATCGACTGAGACAGTGAAAAACACACTTACCCTGTCACCTGACCGTCGCTGTCAATCAGGTGGGGACGTGGCTAGGGTGAGGGACAATAGCTGCCAAGCTTAATAGTCTGATAGGCTGAGAGCATATAAAAATTCCCGCCCCTAACCAATGAAAATTTGGATGTGGGTCATAATTGACATGTCACCCACCCCACCCCACCCACCCACCCACTATAAACCCAGTAAGCTATGCATACTGAAGGTAAATAGAAAGGGAACGTTAAAAGGAATCAGATAAACCATCACCAAACCATCACCAGGGGATAGAACTATGAAAAATCCTTCACCAAGTAACAAACACAATGGAAGGCTAGAAAGCTCAATCGGTTAGAGAGTCGCAACCCTGCCCACTGGTGAGAACCACAAACTGAGCACGCTCACAGGAGTGTTTATCGAGTTGGTAATGTCAAATAAACGTATTCAGATGGCTCCAAATAGCAGCTGAGCAGATCTCAATGGGCAGGGCTGCGGCATAAGCGTTAGATGTCGCTACTGCCCTAACCGAGTGAGCTTTCAACCCTTCTGGGGGAATTAATCCTTTATGTACATAGCCCATACAAATGGCAGAGACAAGCCACCTAGAAATGGTTTGCTTGTTCACCGGAAGACCAACCTTGCCACCACCATAACAGCAGAAGAGCTGTTTATCCTTCTGGATAGATGCTGTTAAGTTTGATATAAGACTTGAGAGTCTTCACGGATATCTAAGACGTGAGCACGTCGAAGAGAGGTTCGGGACGATCGAGGCTGCAGTAAAGCAGGAAGCTCAATAGGCGCCGTTATGTGAAAGGAGCCGGCAATTTTAGGATTGACAGTGAGTTCCTGGTCTACCGACATTGCATGAATGTCCGACCCTCCTGCCGGACGTTACCGCCCTAAGAAAAGCTGCCTTCCAACTTAACAGCTGGAGTGAAAGAGACGATAGATCGTAAAAGATAGGACCGGACATCCAATCAAGAACGATTGACAAGTCCCACGGGGGACTAATCCGCCGGACAGTCGGACGGATTCTGTCCACGCCCGCTAAGAAGCGCTGCACCAGAGGGTGTTGACCTAAGACAAAACTGTCGGTAGGTGAGTGGAAAGCTGATATAGCCGTAGAGTAACCACTAATAGGGGACGCGGCTAAGCTGGCGTCCAGACGTGATTGCTCTAAAAATCCAACACTTTGCCTAGAGGCGAAGAAAAGGGATCAAGAATCCCCGTTTCCACCCCAGCGCACATAACAGGCCCATCTATCCTCGTATTGAACGTTTGTTGAATCCCTCCACGAAGCCAGAATTGTGTCTACAACTGATGCAGAATATCTGTTAAAATGGCTCACAAACAGGATCCACCGACCCTGAACAACTGGGAGATAATCCCGAATATCCCCGATCGAGCATCCACTCTTGGGGGGCCAGGATACATCGTGAGAGAGCATCCACACGAACGTTGTCCACACCCGGGAGATAGACAGGCATCACCTGAATGTTGAACTGATCACACCAGAGCAGAAACTGCCACGCCTCCTGAAGGAGAGTTGGTGACACCATACCGCCTTGCTTCAGAATATAGGTCATTACCGTTTCAAACCTGATCCACAAAGCGTTCGAACACCAACCGAACCGCTCTCAATTCTAGTACAGGGTACAGTACGTGCAGGGTCACCTCGTTCTCTGACCAAAGGCCCGATACTGTGAGGTCGCCTAAGACACTTGAATTGAATTGAATTGAGAACAACGACATCGGAAACTCCAAAGGGAGCCCTCTGGATAAGTTCCCAGCATCTGTCCACCACCTGAGATGAGGTAATTACCACTCTGGAGTCGTGAGAATTGTCTCGTAACTCTCCAAATGGGACCACAGTTGGGCTAATGCTTGCTGAATCGGTCGCATCCTCAACCTCGTGCGCCAAACTACGTCCACTGTTGCTGCCATGTTGCTCAGCAATCGAAGCCATACTCGTGCTGGTAGCATGGGGATGCGAGGAACTGTAACGTTACCTCATGGACTTTGGCTATGCAGTCGGGAGACAGGGAGACTAAACCTCTCCTGGTCTCGAACTGAGCCCCCAGAATAATCAGATCCTGCGTTGGAACAAGCTCTGACTTCTTGAGGTTGATAACCCACCCCAACTTGGTGAGAATGCTCATCACAGAAAGTGTTGCATCTCGGCTCAAGTGAGTGGCAAGCGCGCTCTGAGTAACCAGTTGGCCAGGTATGGGTGGCAACACCGACCCTGTGCCCTGGCGACTTGCGCTGGAATCAACATAAATTTGGTGAACACCCTTGGCGCCGTGGAGATGCTGAAGGGGAGCACACGAAACTGATAGCACTTCCCATCGAATGAAAACTGAAGGTTTTGAGGAAAGTCGGGGTGCATTGGAACATGGAGGTACACGTCTTTGAGGTCAATTGACGTGAGCCAATCGTCTGCCTCTACAGATGAGATAACCGAACGCAGTGTCTCCATCTCGATCATATTGTTCAGACCTTTTAGATTTAGTATAAGCCTGAACCCTCCGCCCTTCTTGGTGATTGGAAATAAGTCGAGTGATAACTCGCTTCTTCCTGCCCCGCCGGGACCACCACGATGGCTGCCTTGTGCAGTAATGACTGCACCTCGGCGAGGAGTATCTCCGCCTTCTCCTGAGAAGACGGCACCTGTGTGCGACAAATTCCCGGAGAAGGCAGGAGGACCATGTTTCCACTGAGGCATGTGACCATCCCTGAGTGTGGACAGGATCCAGGGATTTGAGGTGACTTCTTCCCATTCCTGCAGAAATAGGGAAAGTCGGCCGCCTACAGGGACGTCGGCATGAAGACAATGAACACCAGTCGTAGGGAATATGACTATTCCCTGTCGTGATTCTACTGAGGGCACCCGAGGAATTAAGCCTGGGAAGTCGGAACTGATTTTTTACCTTCCTGGGAAAAGGTTGAGTAGAAGCCTTACCCCTACCCCTGCTCTTGCCTTTGCCACAGCGAGTCTGGAGTCTACTTGCCAGACACGGGAAGATAAGCGAAGGCCATAACCGGGGGCCAAGCACCAGAGCTAGAAGGCCGTTCTAATAAGGGTTTAGGATCCTTTAATGTGGATACAGATTCCGCGGCCTCCCAAACGACCTTAATAGCATCAGAGAACAGTGTGGAACCCAACTTAAACGGTAAAGCAAGTAGGGCTTGTTGTGTGGCGGGAGAATAACGGGCTACCGAAAGCCACAAGCGCCTATATGTGAGATGATGCCTCATCCTCACCCTGGCCGATGTCGATAAGCTGCCTCTGCAGCACCGACAAATGCCGAGTGAATTACCACTCGGAGTTGTTGGCCTGCATTCCGGAACTGTTCTTCGAAAGTTCGATAAGCGGCCTTAAGGGCTTGACTATTGGCACCAAAGGGAGGCAGGCGACGACCTTGCCTAGCCGAAGAAATGGAAGCACTAGACAACCACCCAGCGTGACTGAGGCATAAATGCAATCATCCACTAATGGCCCTTTTACCCCTGCATCAGGTGTAGCAGATGTGGAGGGTAGAGCACCTAAATCTTTTCGATTTTTGTGCTTAGACGGATGTTTCTTAAACGGCGGGTCTAGACCGCGTATGTCACACCCGCCTGAAGCAAGTTGGCAAAGAAGAGTAAGTAGGCATGACGACTCTTCTGTGTTTTGTCGGTGAAACTCATAACGCACAACCTTGGTCATCATGAGCCTCTTCAGCGAGGCACCTAAGACAAATCAAATGCGGATCCTGTGGTGGGAGGACCGCATTACAGGTGACACAGTTTTAAAACTGCAAAACAACAGAACCAGGCTATGGCAAAGAGCCGGGACTGTGAGAAAAATTTCACAAATATCATGTATAAAATAGACGCACAGGCGATATTGAATATAATAAAACAATACATAAGAATAGCGACTACAAGGTATAACATAAGACTACCCGTATACACAATAAAAAAGTGCAAATACTGAACAACCTAGCTACACGTGACGCTAAACATGCGCACAAGAGCTAATCATTGAAAAACACGAGTCACCTATTCTGACTTAAAAGAAAAGTGTGAGACATGTTAAAAAAAGATGAACGTACCACCAACTGAACCATAAAGGAAAGTAGGCCCTACAGCTACAAATTGGTACTGAAAAATATTTGAGCGCCCCTGAAGAGCGGCCATCTTGCAAGCCACATGGCTTGAAGGTGAGCGGGACGAAAGCAAGTTACAACAAATTCATGAATGAAAAAAGCAACGTACAATTCACCTATCGCCCGAGCGATAAAGAAAGGTACCATACATACAGAGTTTGCTTCTTTGTCACTCATACTCAGTCAAAATAGGAAGATATTCTCTGAACCATGCACACGTCTAGGCGCAGATCCGCGACAGCATGAAAAGTGAGTCTGAGGTTCAGCTTAGAGTTACCTGCTCTTGGCTGTTGGGGCCCAGGGGTCCTGTAGGGTGGTCTCACAAGACAAAAAGCGAGTTGTTTGTTTTGTAAATCTTTTATTGAAATATATAGTTACAACTGTCGTAGGAATTTAAAATGGACATTTTAATGCTTATAAGTACCCCAAGGAGGATCTCTTTTGAAAAGAATCTGCTCTATTTGTAAACTAACTGGAGTCAAACAGAACAATCTTGTGGAATGAAATGTATTAAAAATTCACAATCATGACCACTTTGTAAACATAATATAGACTGTAATCTGGAACCAATCTCATTAAACATGTGGTATAGTATGCAACTATTAAACATTTTTCAAAATTCTCTGTGACAGCATTTACCAATGAATAAGCACAAAATAAATCTCACTACTTTGGGGGTTAGAGAGCAAATATAAAGATTCTTGTAACAGTTGCTCTTGCACTGGCAGCAGGAATGTTATCAGAGTAACAAAGTGTAATAGTGTAATAAAGGTGTTCACAGCCCATCTTATGGGGAGATAACTCTACATACATACCTGTGACAGTATCTCCCGTGCCTGAGCTAGAGTGTGGGGTGAACCAACCCTATACAGACAGGTTGCTTTCAGGAGCTGGAGTTCACAGGTGATGGATTTGCTGGGCACTGTCAATAGTCTATTCTTCTTCTCTAGTGCCATCAGCCCTGGACAGAAGCAAATGCATACTGACAAAAATCTGTGGTTGGAACAGAAATCAGTTAGTGGGTTCACTTTCTGTGAGTGAGTGAGTGAGTGAGTGAGTGAGTGAGTGAGTGAGTGAGTGAGTGAGTGAGTGAGTGAGTGAGTGAGTGAGTGAGTGAGTGAGTGAGTGAGGTAGAGTGAGTGAGTGAGTGAGTGAGTGAGTGAGTGAGTGAGTGAGTGAGTGAGTGAGTGAGTGAGTGAGTGAGTGAGTGAGTGAGTGAGTGAGTGAGTGAGTGAGTGAGTGAGTGAGTGAGTGAGTGAGTGAGTGAGTGAGTGAGTGAGTGAGTGAGTGAGTGAGTGAGTGAGTGAGTGAGTGAGTGAGTGAGTGAGTGAGTGAGTGAGTGAGTGAGTGAGTGAGTGAGTGAGTGAGTGAGTGAGTGAGTGAGTGAGTGAGTGAGTGAGTGAGTGAAGTTTTACGCCAGCTCAGCAATATTCCAGCTATATGGTGGCGGTCTGTAAATAATCGAGTCTGGACCAGACAATCCAGTGATCAACAGCATGAGCATCGACCTGCGCAATTGGGAACCGATGACATGTGTCAACCAAGTCAGCAAGCCTGACCACCCGATCCTGTTAGTCACCTCTTACGACAAGCATAGTCGCCTTTTGTGGCAAGCATGGGTTGCTGAAGACCTATTCTACCCCGGATCTTCAACGGGTCTCACTTTCTGTAATAAAGTTGGTTCCTAAGCTGGTTGGTTGATGAAGGATTATTATTGTGAGTGAAAGTAGATATGAGTTTCTAATTCAGCAAAATAATACTCAAAACCCATCTGAATCATCTAGTCATCTGAATGACAGCAGGACGTCAACCATGTATGACATTGGGTGGTATAAGTTCCTTTTGATGTTTAATAGCAATATGCAGCTTCTGTCATCCAGGGCTACATCAGTTACTTTCTGGGCGAGGAATACCTACCTCTATCAGAGACTTCAACACCAGCCAACACTGCATGTAGTTGCTGGTGACATCTTGCTAAGAACACATAGCCACTCACAACTCTGGTAAGACTGTTCATTCCTGTAAGGCAACCACATATCAATGATTCTGGCCTGTCAATATTGCACAATGGATACATACCTTGCAGCTCAAAATATACAATGATATCAATTAGGGGTGTCGCGATACGCGAATGTATCGATGCATCGATACATTTTTACTGACGATACGATACGCGATACATGCTTGCGTGTATTGAATCCTATTTTAAAACTTTATCGATTCAAATTTTTATGCTATATCCATCTCCTTCAAAGTCTTGATAGTAAAATTATACGAGACCGCTCCGATAAATAGATGTAGCTAGCTTTACTTAAAAAATAGGTTGGAAAGTAACAGCTTTTGTGATTGGCTAGACTATTTTGATGGACCAGTCAGCCAACTCGTACGTTGCCGGTAAGGTAATGCTATGAAAAGTCGCGAAAATTATGTATCGCGATACGTATCGTATCGTGACCTTAAAATCGTGATCGTATGTAATGAGACGTATCGTGAGATTGGTGTATCGTGACACCCCTAATATCAATGTGAAAATGTACATACAGTAAACTATAGTTAAAACAAATCCAAAGGGACCACTTATCTTAGTTGTACGTTATACACATTTCAATGAGAAAATTCAGGAAGTGGCCAGAAAAAACCCCAGTACATTGCATCTGTCAGTTTGTTATAGCCATGTTTGGTTCAAACATTGTTTACTGTAATGTGGAGCTCATAAATCTTTTTAGCATGATAGATCATCTGGGAGTTTGGATAAACTTTGGATATTCCTCTTACATAAATATGACTTCACTAAATATAATTTCTGAAATAACAATGTAATTTTTTAAGTAAAATTGATATTTTATACTTATCCTGACTCATGATCTTTTGCTTATCTCTCTTTCCTATGCTAATGGAAGTGGAACACTTGAATCCTTTGAAGTTCCCATCGCGGACGTAAAAGTACACTCACCCACGAGTTACCTCCCTTTTGCCCTTTCACGCGCAAACAGTCAAGTGACCAGCCTTACTTGTCACTCTCTCCTGATTTTTCTTCCCATGCACTTGGATCTACTGTGAAATACGAAGTGTTTCCAGCAGGGAGGTTGGGAGGGCTCAACCTCATGAGTTAGGATAAGTATAAAATATCAATTTTACTTAAAAAATTACATATTTTTCCTTATCCTGACACATGATCTTTTGCTTATAGAATCCGACAGATTGGTGGTGCGTCAAGCCACTTCCTGGATTCATCAGCTGTCCTTAAATACGTCCTGTACCCCCCCACCCCCCATGGGAACTGCGTAACAGCATGTTCAAGATCCTATTCTTCCAACTTCCGTTATAACTCGGGGGACCACTTTCTTGTCTTACTTCAATCTCAGACAAGCTGAATCATGTTGATTCATGTGGCTTAAGATATACTAGTATCTTCTTTTCACTAGATATCTATAACAACCCATAGATTATGATAAGATCTTTATCATAAATGAGTTGCGACCCCTTAATGTACAGGTAAGATCTTTACCCGTACAGGGTCTTAATCACTCATGCTAGTCTGTCCTAGACTGCGGCATGGACTTTCAAACTAATACTTTTCCTTAGTAAAAGTTATCAACAAGTCAACGTGATAAAGGGTGAGATATCCAACTCAGCGCCTTTGTGGAACCGTTAGTTGCTGTGCTACAAAGTGAGGCCCAAACTAGTGAATGCCGGGGACGTCTTCAGTCTGTAGATAATGGGATTAACAGGCGCTTGAACTTTTGTCTCCTTGTCTTAGTCCTTTGAAGATATATCTTCGGAGCTCTGACTGGACACAAGGATAAATCTTCTATATCCTCTGGGCCGAGGATTGTAGATAGCGCTGGTACATGGAACTGTCTATCTGGTTGACCAGGTTGTTGGTTCTTGGCAATACAGTCCCATCTAAGTCCTAGATGTACTGCAGCATGTTGCCCCGCGTCGAATCTAGTTCGAACAAAGTCCAGCACATGTATCTCCGACATTCGAGATGCCATGGCTAGTGCAAGCAGGAACAGCGTCTTCTGTGTCAGCAGCTCGAAGGTAGTCTGATCTAGAGGTTCGTAGGCATCACTCATGAGATGACGTAGAATTACATTCAGATCCCAGGCCGGAGCTCTGAATTTCTTTTGCTGGTCCTCCAGTTTAAAAGATCTCAGCAGAGCAAGTAATTCTGGTACTTTCGTCAACTTGATGCCTGTCTTCATGGTGATCACTGTACTGAAGGCAGTCAGATACGTGGATAATGTCGAACCTTTCAGATGTCTAGTATGTCTAAGATGACATAGGTTATCTGCCACTTGAGGATGAGTAGCTTACATAGCAATGAAGCCTTTCCGCCTTGTATAAGTCTCAAACTTCAGCCACTTGTCATCATACAGGTTACGAGTGGATCTGCGTAACGCTAAGGTTACTGCCTTGGCTGCTCTCGCGGACTATCCTCTTTTCTTCAAACATGTTTTGATACGGTCCACACGTGTAGCTGGAACAATGCTGGGTTCCCGTGGACTTGGTGTGCGAATGTATTAGTAGGTTCGGCCATTCTGGTAACTTGAGTGTTGGACTTCCGAGATCTTCTATTAGGTCTAGGAACCAAACCCTCGCTGGCCAATAGGGCGCGACCAAAGTCTATTGTAGCGCCTGCGTCTGTTTGATCTTCAACAGTACTTTCGGTAGTAATATCCGGGTGGAAACGCGTAAGCGTTTAGTCCTTCCCATGATATGCTCAGTGCATCTGTTGCCCAGGCACAAGGATCTGGAACTGGTGAACTGTAGTTGTTTGTTGAACCTCGTTGGAAACAGGTCTATGCATGGGGATCCTATTTCCCTTATGATGAGCCGAAATGCTTCTGGATGGAGTATCCATTCCGTAGGTGACGGGTGCAGTGGTCAGGAGAGAGCGTCTGCAAGTACGTTCTTGGCTCCCGGGTATGTGACACGCCTATATCCAGATGTTTGCTTCCTCCGTGATGTGGAACAACTGGAATGTGAGCTGTAGAAGGCTTGGAGACCTTGTAGATCCTTGCCGATTTATGGAGAATGCCACTGTAGAGTTGTCCGTGTGGACCATCAGCATTCTGTTACTCAGCGAGCTCAACCATAGTTGTAAGGTGTTGATCACGGCTTTCATCTCCAGCAGATTGATGTGAAGATGCTGCTCTGTTTTGGACCACCTCCCTGATGCAACTTTATTGTTGAGATGCACACCCCAGCCTTGTATCGATGCATCTACGTAGAGATGCGTGTAGAAGGCCGGCTCTTGTAAATAGGTCCCTCCGCAGACGTTCGACCTGTGAGTCCACCAAAGTAGGTACCTATTGAGATTGTCTGGCAGCAAAATAGGGTCGACGCTGTCGAGATGTTTTGTCAGGAACCGTTGCAGCGGTCTTAGTTGTAACCTTCCTGTGGGAGTCAAGTCCTATGCTGGGGTTAGTAGACCGGTAGACATTGTCATGTTAAGTAGTGTTAATGGAGAGATGACTGCTTGAGGAATCATGGCTTGTATCTTGACCCAGCGATCTTCTGGGGCGACAATACGATTCTGTGTTGTGATAAATCTTATCCCCAGAAATTGAAGATCTTGTTTTGGTTCCAACTCTGACTTCATAAGGTTCACCAGCCATCCTAGTTGAGTGAGCAACTTGATTGTAAAGTTTAGCTGTAGTCTGAGTTGACGGGCACTTTGGTGAATCTGAATGCCGTCGTCCAGGTAAAAGGCATTGCGTAGACCTCGATGATGTAGATATGCGACTATAGGCTTGGATACTCGTGTGAATAGCCACGGAGCCGAAGATATTCCAAACGGTAGACGTTCCATTGGAAGTGCTGCCCTCTGAATAGGAATCGCAGATACTTTCTTGATTCCAGATGTATGGCGATGTGTAAATATGCATCCTGAAGGTCTATGCTGGCCATGTAATCTGCTGGACGGACGAGTAGCCTGAGTTGAGGTAGGTGGATCATTCTGAACCTGTCTGGTTTCAGTAGATAGTCTTTCTTGAATTTACGCATGTTGTAATTCAACCTGAACTTCTCTTTGGAGTTCTTCTTGGGTACTAGAAAAATTGGGCAGTAGAAGCCTGGAGTGAGATGATGTTGATCTATTTTCTCTACCGCATCCTTCATAAGAAGTGAGTTGATGGCTTCTTGTAACTTGTCTGCCTGCTTGTCTGCATAATCGAAGACCATCGGGCTGAGAGTTAACGGTGGTGTGGCCTTGAACTGCACTCTGTATCCTTCTCGCAGTACTTGGGAGACGTAGTCGTCCTCTAGCATTCACCAATTTTTTCAGTACCTTTGTAGATGCCAACCCACTGTCGATGGTTTTACAGGAACGGCTGGGGGTGGAAGACTCCAGTCGTTCCGAACCCCAATATCAACGTCTAGTTCCTCTGGATCCTCTGGTTCTCCCTGAGTTCCCTCTGAAATTTCCAGATGGACGACGAAAAGAATCTTTCTCGCCTCTGAAGCTGGAGTACTTTTTCTCCTTAGCCTTCTGGATGCCAGAATATTTCGACTTGCTGTTGTACTTCTGGGAAGTATGACGCATGACGTTGGCTAGAGTATCTATAGACTTTATCATCATGACTTCTCTTGAATCGTGAGTAGCTTCCTTAGCTGCATCATCTATCTCGCCTCCGAAGATAGTAGGCGCCTCCAACGGAGCTCTAAGCAGCGACTGGGTGAATCTGTCACTCCAAGAACAAGATGCCAGTAGACCCTGTCTGCGTAGCAAAGTGAGACCTGCCGATATTGATGCCAGATGGTCCGATAAAAGGTATTGGTCCTTCTTCTGAGTTAGCAGAGCTGATAGTATCATTCTATCTTCTTCTGAACTGGGGTTCTGGAACTTGTTAATCAATGCTTCATTGATTGCTCTAGATCTGGCTAAGCCGAAGAAGGATCTCCTTGTAGCAGTATCAAATTGGGATAACTTTTTATCTTCCACTTTGTATATCTTCCACTTTGTATAACTTCATGTTTGCATATAATTCCGGCGCCTTCATAAAGGGATCCATGTGATGTAAAGGGAATTTCTTCGCATTAAATTTTTAAATATAATACAAACTAATTATAGCCAAATCCATACACAGCGTAATTTCAAAGAATAGGATCTACATAAAAAAGAATATAATGCTGTATACGGGACTCCAGTGCTCGCCCAACCATCCGCTTGGGCGAAAGGGAGAGAGTGACAAGTAAGGCTGGTCACATGAATGTTTGCGCAGGAAAGGGCAAAAAGGAGGTAACTCGTGGGTGAGTGTACTTTTACGTCCGCTTTGGGAACTTCAAAGGATTCAAGTGTTCCACTACCATTCGCATAGGAAAGGGAGATAAGTACAAGATCATGAGTCAGGATAAGGAAAAATAATTAAACATGGTTCTATCATAATCCCTTCCATGAACTTGCCTTGTTGAAGGAGGTCCCTTGCCTCCATCAGCTTGCGGTCTGCCAGGTGGAACACTCCCTGGGACAGACTAACATACGGGTTGTTGGCTGACAGGGCTCCAAGCTTCTGTGACACATCTCTCAGACTGGAGCTGACAGTATCATTAGAACCTAAGAGAAACAGATTGAAAAACTTGTTGACACCTCTCTGTACAAAGTATCAATCATTCAATCATTTCTGTACCTCAAAATCAAATATAACGAGGGACTTTAGAATGCAAAGAAATAAAACGCTTAAGCTGTGGAGTCATAGTTTGCTCATAGTTCATCTGGCGTGGTCTAAATAGACATGCCCTCAAAGCTTCACAGACACAGATACTGTATCAGAGAAAAGGTCTGATTACAGTGAGACAAAATCAGCCACAGAGTCTTTTCCTACACAGAGATATAGCTGTGGCCACCCACCCAGGAGGAGATCCTCCAGCAGCAACACAGTCCAGGTCTCCAGGATGTAGGGGTCGGCAGGGAACCGGGTATGGAGACTTCGACATTCTTCACAAAGGCTGGACCGGGGACCTTGCTGCAAGCATCAGCAGCTTGTTTTCAGTTAACAACAAACTTAGGTACTGCATTTACATAAAAAGAAGGAACAGACTGATTATAAAAATATTTGAACTAACCTGTAGAGGTTTCAGATTCTTTGAATATATTCCTCCTTGGGGTACTTATAAGCATTTAAATGTCCATTTAAATTCCCTACAACAGTTGTAACAATATTTGAATAAAAATATTTACAAAACAAAAACTACGTTTTGTCTTGTGAGACCACCCTTACAGGTCCCTCCGGCCCCCTACAGCCAAGAGCAGGTAACTCTAGACCGTAACCTCGTACCTCACTTTCCATGCTGAACCACGTCAGACAGAATGTGGGGAGGTGGGCGGGCGTACCCCAAGGAGGAATATATTCAAAGAATCTGAAACCTCTACAGGTTAGTTCGATTCTTTTTTATATATTCCTCCTTGGGGTACTTATAAGCATAAGACAGACTCCTAAAGACGGAGCTAAGGAGCGGCATTCTGTCTGCAGAAGACAAGATGTGGAATTTCCCAAGCTAAATATAGCAGAAAAAGCACACTTACCCGGTCACGTGTCCACCATAGCCAATCAGGCGGGTACCCCTTGTTCGTTTGATATAAGCCTTAAGTGTCTTACGGACATCTAAAACGTGAGCACGTCGTAGAGAGGTACCGGACAGGGAAGGCTGAGTGAAAGTTGGGAGCTCAATAGGCGCCGTCACATGGAAGGGACTATCCTTCTTAGGACGGTAAGTATCAGGCAGCCGTATGCTAACTCTGTCTTTGTGAAAAACAGTAAGCGCGGGATCGGCCGACATTGCGTGAATATCGCCAACCCACCTGCCTGAAGTCACCGCCACAAGAAGCGCCGTCTTCCACGTCAACAGCTGGAGTGAAAGAGCCGACAGATTGTGAAACAGTGGACGGACAGCCAATCAAGAGCGACTGACAAGTCCCACGGGGACTAATCCGCCCGGACAACCCGGACCGGATTCTGTCCACGCCTGCTAAAAGTGCTGCACAAGAGGTGCTGCCCCAAGAGAACACCGTCAACAGGAATATGAAGCGCCAGAAATAGCCGTAGAATATCCTCGAACAGTTGAAGCAGCTAGACCCGGCGTCCAACCGAACTGGAGGAATTCTAAAACAGAGACTAAATCTGTAGAAAAGGGATCAAGAATCCCCTGTTGACACACCAGCGCTTGAATAACAGGCCCATCTATCCTCATATTGAAAGTTTGTCGAATCCCTCCGCGAAGCCAGAATTGTGTCTGCAACTGGTGCAGGAATTCCTTCGCCGCGGAGGCGATCGCTGACAGCGACCAAGCCACCCACTGAATCCTGGGATTGGTGGGTCAGCTCCGTTCTGGATAGGAGGTCTGGTCGAAAAGGTAATAGAACAGGAGGCTGAGCCAGAAACCTGAGAATTACGGAAACCAGCGTTGTGCCGACCAAAGGGGTGCCAGAAGCACAAGTAGCCGAGCTGGTTGTGCGGTCAGCTGTGACAGGACCCTGGAAATCAGTGGTATCGGGGGAACACCCACAGTACCGTGTCCGTCAATCGAGAGCTGAAAGGCGTCGTTGGCTAACAGCTCCCGGATCGAATCCGGGGCAAAACACATGAATCTGGTTAAAGTCACCCCAGGCGCAAACAGATCCACCTGGAAACGACCCGAACAACTGGGAGATAATCCCGAATATCTCCCGGTCGAGGCATCCACTTTCGTGTGGGGCTAGTATCGCCCGTGAGAGTGCATCTGCGGGGCGTTGTCTACCCGGGGAGATAAACAGGCAAAACCGAATGCTGAACTGATCGCACCACAGTAGAAACTGCCACGCCTCCTAAAGGGCGGCGGAGACACTGTGCGCCTTGCTTGAGAATGTAAGACATGGCGTTTGATTGTCCATTTCTAGAGCGAACCACCGGCCTGCACCAACACCGGAAGCTTTTCGAACACCCTGCGGACTGCTCTCAGTTCTAACACATTGATGTGTAGGCTGACTTCCGCTCCGACTGAGTGCTGCCCAGGGACAACCCCAACCTGTGAGGGAGGCGTCAGTCTGAACTGAGAGGGAAGATGTCGAGTGTCGAGGGGATCCGCCAGGACAAATTCCGGCGTCCGTCCACCATCGCAAGTGAGGAATTAACCACTGGGGCGTTGTGAGAATAATCTCGTAGCTCTGCGAGTGGGACCACAGCTGAGCTAACGCTTGCTGAACTGGTGCATCCTCCGAGGCGCAGCACACCAAACCACATCCACTGTCGCCGCCATGTTGCCTAGCAACCGAAGCCATGTTCGGGCCGACGCATTGGGCGACTGGAGAAACTGTAACACAGTCCTCTGGACTTTGACGATGCGGTCCGGAGCAAGGGAAACAATCCCTAGCTCCGTGTTGAATCTGGCCCCCAAGAAAATCAGATCCTGCGTCGGAACGAGGTCTGATTTCTTGAGGTTGATAATCCAGCCCAGTGACACCAGAGTATCCATCACGCACAGTGTGGAAGCTCTGCTTAACTGAGGACCTAAGGCCTTGAGAAGCCAATCGTCCAGGTACGGGTGACAACACCTGCCCTGAGACCTTGCTAACTGAGCTGGGATTAGCGCCGTGGAGATGCCGAAGGGGAGCACACGAAACTGGTAGCACGTCCCGTCGAAGGAGAACCGGAGGTACTTCTTGAACTCGGGGTGCATTGGAACATGGAGGTATGCGTCTTTGAGATCGATTGACGTAAGCCAATCCCCTGTCTCGACGGAGGAGATCACTGACCTGAGTGTCTCCATCCTGAAAGCCGGCACCTCCAGTAACTGGTTCAACCCTCTGAGATTCAGAATGGGTCTGAACCCTCCGTCCTTTTTGGTCACTAGGAAGTAGGTGGAATAAAACCCCTCTCCTTGCTGACCCACAGGAACCACCTCGATGGCTGCCTTGTTCAGTAAGGACTGAACTTCGGCACAGAGCGCGTCCGCCTTGTCGTGGGAGGTCGGCACAGGCGTGTGCCGAACCCCGGAGAAGGACGGAGGATCTCGCCTCCACTGTGGCAAATGGCCATCCCTGGGCGTGGACAGGACCCAGGGATTTGAGGTGGCTGCCTCCCACTCCCGGAGGAATAGGGACAACCGGCCGCCGACAGGGACGTGTGGCATGAGGCAGTGCACCCCCACAGTCGGCAAGTCTCTGCTTGCGTGAGTGGGGGACAATAAGGGCTCTGGGGAAGGAATCAGCGGGAAGCCGGGGCTGGCTTCCCCCTGCCCCGAAAAGGCTGCTGCGCTTGAGCAGGCCTGCCCTTGCCTCTTGCGCGCCTGCTCCGCTTGGACTGCAAAGGGGCAGTCCACTTTGCAGCGTCCTTTGCCGGGGCAGAAGGATAAGCGGAAGCGAGCGGGGAAGGCTGGTGGCGAGGAGCGGAGGGCTGTTCCAACAAAGGCTTAGAGTCTTTGAAGGTAGAAACTGCCTCCGCGGCCTCCCGTACAACCTGCAATGCCCCAGGAAACAGGGAGGACCCCATGGTATACGGCAATGACAGGAGCGCCTGTTGCGTGGCCGGTGAATACCGCGCCACGGACAACCACAGGCGGCGCAAGCCCATCACGACACCCATCATCTGGCTGGCACAGCACCGAATGCTATCCCGAGCCAGATGAGAGTGTACCCCCGTGAGCTGCCGCGCAAGCACCGGCGCCGACAAGTCGGCATCACAAGCGCTCTGATCCACCAGCTGTCCCTGCAGAGCAGACAGGTAGGCTGAGTGGACTGCCACTTTAACTTGCTGGGCTGCGCACCGGTAGCACTCCTCGAAGGACCGGTACGCAGACTTCAGCGTAAGTGAATTAGTAGGAAAAGGGGGGAGGCGCCTGCCCTGCCTGGCCGAGGCCAGGGAAGAGGAGGACAACCCCCCTAGAGTGACGGACGCAAAGACGCACTCGTCCACCACTGGCGGCTCGAACAACGCCTCCTCTCCCAACTGGTACCGCTTGCCGACGTCGGGCAAATCAAACCGCGTGCGGGCACCAGTCAAGAGAGGATTGATCACCTCACTCACCTGTGATGGCAGAATGCGGAGGCGTGCCTCGGCGACCCGGCTAGGCGCGAAAGCCTCCCCCGGGAGCCAAAACTCCGCGGGGTCGGGCGCCTGTACGGTAACGGCCACCTGGGGCAGGGCTTCGGCGATCTTATCCTGAACCTGCCGCAGAGACGAGCCAATGAAGCTAGGCCGCCACCAGGTGCCGAGGACGCGCTATCCCCACGGCCGAAGCCGGGATCAAGCTGCCCGGGGGGAGGCGCGTTCTCCGAGCGGAAGCTCGGGCCGCAGCCAACCCCCCCAGATGTGTAAGATCCACCCTGACGACCGGCGCGCTGAGCTCCTTACGGAACCCAGCCAACGCCGTATCGATCAGAGATTTCACTGACGACATCTGTTCCTGAAACAAAGCGGTTAAAGAGTCAACAGGTACAACAGGTGCCGACACAACAGGGGGGGTGGCAGATACAGGAGCAGGTTGAGATATAGATGTATTAGTTTTCTCCAACGAAGCCTCCTTGGAACCCTTAGCTCTTTTGGGAGCCGGCTCCGTATGGGAAGCGGCTCCCGTAGACCCCTTTTTTTGTGTGAACGCTTGGACGGGGGATCCTGAGCCCAGATATCACCCCCCGCCCGAAGCAGGTTGCTGTAAAACAGCCGGTCCACCCGTCGTGCCTTAATAGTTTGAGGTGTAAAAATGGCACACGCCGGACACCCCTCTTCCTTATGATCAGTTTGGATGAGGCAAGGTAAACACACCTCGTGAGTGTCCCTGACGGGAATGGCAGCGAGGCGCAGTACAGGATTTAAACTGCAACAAGTAAAAACCTGTGCAGCAATCAACCCCATACACACATACATATATGAAAAAAAACACGCGATGGGCTGACACAACTAATGCGACCACGTAGCATACAGTTGACAATAATCATAATCGCACTGCAACATAACTAACAATTCACGACTTTTAGCGTAAGATAGAAAAT